AGAAATAGCTAGAGTAGTGTCCTTGGAAACAGGAGTGGACACACACACACACCCGCGCACGCACACACACACACACACGATGCCACGTTTAATTAATGGAACCCATGATTTGCCTGTGGTATCAGAGTGGCTGTCATGACCGGAGGCGCTTAGCAGCACAGACACTGTCACTGCCGTGGAGTTGGTGGCCTCAGCATCCTCTCGCCCATGTATTTGGGTCCGGGGTCCGGTAAGTGGGACATTTTGCGGTTGAAACCCTGAAGCATCCTAGCGTCGAGCGGGGCCTCGTAGCTGCCGAGTTTGGTCCCTTTATATAAGACTTAGCAGAATATTTAAAAGTCACGATGTAGTCGCTGGTGTTAGTGTTCGTCCCTAACCAACAGATAGCAAAGACATATAACCAGGGTTTGCACTTGGTAGCGTATAGGTGCTTTTGTCCGCCATCCTCGGCAGCACTACTCTCAGGTTGGGCCAGTGGAGTCCATGCAGTATTTTGGATTTGGCCTGTGCACTCAGTGGCGGTTCTTGGTCATGTATCCTTGCAATTCAAAAGGCGAGAGGGGATTCACAAGATAGTCCATGCAACAAAAAGTCTTTGAACCTGTGTTTGTCGCGTTTCCTCCTGGTGTCTCTGTCAGCCAGCCATGGCAGGAACAGGGGTCCAGGGAGACCTGGTCGTTTTGTCAACGGGGTCTACCATTCCGCTCATATGCCTGCATTTGCCTGCAGAAAGTCTTCAGTATTGCGGCGTTCATTCGTCAACCAAGGCCATAATCCATCACATTCAATTTGCCCACATCATTACTCTGGCTCTCAGGACCTTCAAATTTAGCTTTTTAGAGCGCGCTGGCCCTGCGCGCAGAATCCACCAATGGCCAATCTTGAGATGGTCGATGGGGTGCCAGCAGAGGTTGAGTTGCCCGTGTCCACCTCACCTTTGCCTCCAGGCGCTGTAGAGATACAGTAGCTAGGGCTGTGAGTGGTCAGCACTTCCTATCAATGATCAATCCCGTGGTCCTGGCGCCAACACACAGACCTCATGTTTTTTGTGCCAGGTGCGCAGCCTGTAGGCTCTGTGGCTACTGGCACGCAAGAGAAGATGGCAAGCACCACGGCAGGGCCTGCGAGTAACCCCTTGGCGCTTCGACATGAGCGCCTTCAAGGAAAGATCACCAAGCCAACCAGCGACAAAAGTGAAGTTGTGGCCTATTTCCCAAAAGTCAGGTCTACAGCAGTGAGCTGGATGGGACAGCGTTTGTTTGGTCTTAGTTCGGTGTTGTCGCACCGTCACACCTACAGTAATCCAAATAATTACCGTATAGATATATTTCCGTTATGTTATATCATGTTGTATCCAGGACCTAGGAACAGTTCAAAGCGAGTTTGCCGATTTGATTTGCCAGCAGCTTTATTGTGGGATCACCCCAGGTATGTGGTGCAGAGCGGCACCGGCTTTTTGAAGAGCCACTTGTTCGAGGGTGAACTTGGCTTCAAAACCGACAACGCACCTCGAATTCGACAGCGGCGAATCAAATCATGGCCAAACATGGGGGCAACTGTCAAAGTTCAGCGAGAAAACACGTGTTTATTCCTACACGTGCTGCAAAAAGACCTGGTGAAATGACGGCGCACATACACTTGGTAGTTGAAACCCATCCTTCCCAACTAAAAGAAAGCGCTGCTTCCCCTCAAAGACTCCAAGCTGAAGTCCAGAGTCTAAAGTTGTCCAAAACCGTGGGAAGCGATGGCGCCACATGTATGCATCGCCCAAACATATGCTATGCAGATACCCAAACTACGAGACGAGACTATGTTTTACTTGCGGTAGATATTTGTATAGATAAGATATGTTTTTTCCTTCTTGGTCTTGAGCGGTGGTTGCAGCGCACTATGCATGTCACAATCCGATCTATATAACCCCAATTGAGGCCTGATGGGTTTTGGGGCCTTGTGCAGCACGGAAGCTTCTAGAAAGCTCATGATTGCGTTGGATGACTGTCCCAGGTCCCACAAGCTTGTGACAAGCATGGTTTGTTGAGTCGAAGATGTAGATAGGTCTGGCTAATGCTGTCTCCAGATAACCAGGGTTGCAAAGGCCCATGCATTCTGTTCTTTTGTTTCAGTTAGTCATCAGGTAATGTTGGAATGCCAGAATTACGAGTTCAAGGAAGATGAAAACGTCGAGTTCGATGTGCAAGCTGACGAACGTGGGAGGCCGCATGCTACTGCACTCAAGCCTGTGGTTGGTAGAAAGCCAAGCGATTGTTTCTCATCACAAGCTTAGTACGTGTGTTTGTTATTTGTGGGTTCGCCGGAGTCGCCGTCGTTTTATATATAACCCTTAAGTTTATGTAGCGAAACACCCGGAAAAACTTTAGATTCATGTTCCAGCTTGCCTTCATTCTCAGACTGTTTTTCCAAAACAGAGTTTTTGCTTTATAGGTGACTATTTGTTTTGGCAAGTTGCCCAGCAAGATCCTGGTTACTTTTTTCACCTCCACTTGAAAACAGCAATTTCCTTCCATATAACCGGAGCATAGGCCGAGGCCGATTTGATTTGAGACCGGTGCGTGTGTGGCTGAGAATGGTCAATCCCTACCACTGTAAATCCAAGGCTTGGGACAACGCCACAGAGGGTATGTGCGACGCTTTGCAGATCGGTGGGGTTTCTTGAATGCGGCGGCCTTCGATGGCGATCTCTTCGTACATAGGGACACTTGGCTCGCCTTCTTCAATTGCCAATCCTTGCGACTTACCAAGAGTTTGCTGAGGCAATAGATTCCACATGTATGTCACAACGGTGTTCAGATTTGTATGCAGTCAATAGCGTTACCACTGCTAAAGAGTTACTATGCTACCCTCTCACGGACCGAGAAGATGCAGCTACAATCCCAAAGCAGTTTGCGTGGAGCTCGTGCCTTGGAACGTCTGAGGACAATTTGCTCCTTGGGCCTGAGCAAATCCAAGATGGCCAACCACCTTTGCGAACAGGCAAGTTTGGTTGTCTGGAATACTACTGTATATTCATGTATATTCACTTGATCCTCGTTTCAGTAAAGTAAAGAGCGATTCACGTGCAAAGCCCTTCAATTAGGTGGAGCATGGTGGAGCTGGGTCCTTCAGCGTGTGGACAATTGATTTGTGTTGTCGAAGAGTTCAGCACCATAGGCAGTTGGGAATCTTCTGTAGTAGGATCCTCTCCAACTGCACCCAGCTTTTCCTCACTTTCCATTGTCAGGCCAGGCTGTGGAGTTTGACATCGCATTAGACGATCGGGGTCGGACTGCGGCTCGCCTGGATGGCTTGGCTTTGGAACCATTTGGGTAGGTCTCATTGGGCCATTGGGTCTTCCCTGTTTCAATTCACCCATTTGTGGTTGGCTTACGCAGATTTACACAGGAGTGGTTGGTTGGCTTCATTTCACCGATTTGTGTTGAATGTTGAGAAACTATGAGGAACCTACATAGAGTTATATATACAGCAGTGTGAACCGGACTCAGGTGGCGAAACAAATCACCACCAGTGCCTTGCTTCGGCCCTGCGACTGGATCGGCCGCCGGCTACAGGGCGTGATTCGGTCATTTCAGGGAGCTTGGGGCTTTGTCAACTCTGACAAGTTTGCAGGGGACGCTGGGAACCAATGACCTAGCAGCTTTTGCATAGTGTAACTTGCTGTGTCAGATTTGTGTTGGCTGTTTTGTTTTGCTGTGCTTTGGACATGTCATTGTTCCCAAGTAAATTCCAAGGTGTTCCAACATGGTGCTCCGACAAATTCATCCAAACACCAAATTGTCATGATAAGGGTTGTAAGAAAATAGGGGTTGCAGGTGCTGGTGGCTTAGCACCTAGGTATTGAAGACGGTACGTCGTTTCTGATAACGCTTTGCATGTTTGTGTTTCAATTGAGTTTGTGTTAATTTGTGCTGTCTCGTGCATGTGATGCTTCATGTAAAAAGACAACCTTGAATTAGTTTTCGGTCCATGAATGTAGATCATGGCCCATGTCACTCTCAGATGCCGAGTGTTCCATTATATACATTTGCCTTCTTTAATTATTCATTCACACTTCACAATCAGTACACATCAAAGTAGTTACATAGCCCCAGTGCCGTTTTCGATGCAGCCAGGATTTGTTTGTTCACCGTGATGCCTTGCTCCAGCAGTTTCAAGACGTGGAGCTCACCGCTGGAACAATTGTGGAGTTTGATGTGGAAAGGGACCATCACAAAAAAGAGTGCCCCGGTCAAGCAGAAATATTGAAGGGATACTGCATTTGTGATGCCGCTGGACCCTTCACTTTTAGATGTGAGATTTGGCAAGATGTACTTTTTTTGATGCCACTGACACTCAGGTGGGAAAAACAGATTGGTGGCACGGCAGGTAGCAATCCTCCATCCGGCAGCTCTACACAATGCTCATGCGGCCTTCTCCGGATTCGGAACAGCTATGCCACAAAGTATGATGCCCCAGCACGGCTTGAGTCGCTTGCTTTCGCAGAGGAAACCTGTTGGGAGCTTGCCTGGTGTGACACGGAATCAAATGCCAGCTTCTTGCTAGGGGACTATACTGCCTATACTTATATAGTTGCGGGATTCAGACGTTTCCACTTCACCACCAGCCAAGATTGCTCAACACATGTGACAGTTTTATATATATATAGACAGAGAGAGAGAGAGTTCATAAGTTTCACCATTTATTGGAAACTCAGGCCATGTCGACCCGATGGCTCACTATGGCAACATCTATGGCACTATGGCGCCCCATTCGTTTCCACAACCTTCGCTCTACTACCAAGGGGCATCTCCAATGGCAGATCAGCAGTACGCTGCGCCTTTCTCATATGAGCTTGGTCAGCATTGACTGTACAAAATGATTATATATTTAAAGCGAACGGTGAATAGAGCCAAGTGGCTGGGCGGGTCTAGCAGGGGCGCCCTCATAAGCACAGGCCTATGTAGAGCAACTGTGTCAAATAAGGCAAGTTGGGCCAGATTATGATGTCATAGGCCCAAATATAGACCCAAATGCCTGAAAGAGAAGTAAAACCCCAATCGTTTGCACGTGAGTTGCTTGGACTGGACTGTCAAACCACACCCTGCAGACTTCTATAGATACATACATAGGGCAGGTACGGCAGGGCTGATGTTTGAGCACAGTCATTGCATGAATCCGTTTTCCATGCATACTCGCATAGGAGTTATAGGTTGGGTCTGTCCTATTACCTGTAACAGTCAGTAAACAGTAAACAATTATCACTACTTTTGGACAAGGCCTCAACTATAATCATCCACTGTTACAGGTATTAGGATAGACCCAAGTTATAGGTGTCTCGCGCCTCGCTCAAGGATCCTTATGGACACAATGCAGGAATGATGCAAGCAGCGATGCCTGCATCAGCGCCCATGCTGCCAGCCTGCGGGCAATCTATGTCGCCAACACAATTTGGTACAAATCCAGTGAATGCGGGCTGCACACCTGGCTCGCAAGGAGTGCAATCTCCCATCAGCCAAGCCGCGTCCTGTCTCCTCACAGTCTTTTTTGTGGAATGTTTGGGTCATGTTTTCTCAGTGAGCATCAGTTTGTTGGAAACAGTAACAGTAGCGGAATTGTCGCAAAGTGGCTTCCTGGGCCTTCACAAGTAATTACAGCACAGGCTCCAAACTTCCAAGCTGCATATCAGATGCCCTTCGGCCAAGTGAGTGATCAATCTCTTCAGCGTCTTTGCTGCATGTGGCTAGGTACAGGTGCCGAATGGTGGAGGACCAGAATGAGCGATGTTTTCTTATGGTTGCCACCCTCAACCTGCACAAAACAATTTGAGGTGAGTCGCTGGCGGACAACATCCAATCATTTGGAACAAGAGAACAGTTTCCAGAAACAGAAACAGAAGAAAGCGTTCCCAAACATCCAATAATTGTTGGACAATGAGAATCATTTGAAAATCATATTGAGTTTTTGAGAAAGGGGCTAGGGGTACAACAAGGGGACCAGTTGCAGTTTTGAAAGTCCTTTCATTTGGCTCTCCTTGCGCTTTCACTAAGGCAAGGACCGTCACCGGCGCAACCCCCGGATGGTGAAACGTCCGAAGGTGCACAAGTGCTGCTTCACATTACTACTCATGACTGGGAGTCTAGGCTATACAGGTCAGCAGCTGAGGCTTTTCTATGTTGATTTTCTTTGCGTTTGTTGACCTGATTGGGATTTTGCCGTACTGTTTTTGGAACCATACGATGTAGTGTACATGGGTCCTTCTAGGCCCTCGAGGCCCTAGGCACCATCCTGCAGTGCATTTTCCTGCTGCAACTCCTGTGGAACTCGTCAACCAGACGCAGTCAGTTTTGTGCTCACCTCAACCATCATGAAGCCCCGGCAAAGCAGATTCAGAGCCACAACTACAAAGCGGACTTGAAGTTCCAGACCATTGGAGATGTCCCTCTCCAGATAAGATATGATGAGATGACGGATGACGCCTTTGTTTCTTCCCAGCTGTGCTAGTTTCTTGCTGCTGGACCTTGTCTAGTACTAATGGGGCCAAGGAACCAGATCAAGCCGGACAACTTCGAGTTCGAGATTTGGCACAGGGAAAGGCTGTTATGGGCACCTTTGAAGCTTTTGTGAGCTAGGCCAGCTTAATTAATTACTCGGAGCCTGGAGGACGGCAACGAATGCGCAGCCGGGTAAACAGTTAGTTCAAGGCCTCAACCCAGTAGATTTGTTTGGGCGTTTTCACCTCCCAGAGCGGCCTGACAGCCCAGGAAAGGGTACCCTAGTCAACGTCTCGCATCGGGCAGCCCATGGCTGGGTCTATGCCGCCACTGTGAAGCATGGAGAGCAGGCGAGCGATCCTCCCAGCGAAGGCAGGGTAAAGGGTGAATGGGTGAGTCAGTATTTTCATGTGGAATTGATTCGGTGCATGTAAGTTTAGGATAGTTTTGGTTTCTTGTGTTTTTCTTGCGGTAGTGTAACTATGAGCAAGTTGCTATGGTGTGATGTGATACTTTACTGCCTTTTTTGTAACAGTTAGTTCCTTTGCCATCAGATATTGCTTCCCCAGAATGTCAGAGTCAGAGGTGAGAAGCTCGGGATTTTGCGAAGCCTGACCTTGCGCAGGTTGGGTGCCACATGCCGTGGCGAAGAGGGTGTCGCTTTGTAGAGTTGCTGCAGATTGGCCAGAAGAAGGTGAGGAGCTGCAGTTCGACTCTGTTCTTTCGGAGCCTATCAGACGAGAAGGAAATAGGGTTTGACCAGTGACCAGTCGCTAATTAGAATAGCGCCTGCAATCGCCTGTGAATACTTTGTGTCCGTGGAACACCTGCTAGTTGAAGGTATTGAACCAGGGATTGTCAGCTTGGACGAGTCAGTATAGTTGCCTATGTTTCTTGGACAGACACAATCACAAAATATGTATGTATATAATTGTATATATATATACTACAGTACATATGACTGTAACTGCAACTTCAACCATTCAGCTGTACATCAGGGGTTCTGAGGCGCAATTCGCTTAGCTAAGCGGCTGCGCATGAGGTGCTGGCACATTGGGCCTCTTGAAGGGTGACCTAATTGCGGTGTCCAAGGAGGCTGAGCGAGGATGGGCCGCTTTGCTGTTAAAAGAGCGAGGCCATACGAGGCTACAAACTATTCTGAAACGTTAGAATCCACCATCCTTTGTGGTTTTGCCCCATGTGCACATATGTTCTCCAAGAATAGTCAGTAGGCAGTCAGCAGGGAGCTGCTGGCATCGAAGTCACAATCAAGCGGCTTTGTGACAAATCGTGGTAGGTGGCAATGCTTTTCTTTGCACTTAATGGAGACACATTGCCGCGGATTCGCTCAGGTGTATGGTGAACGAATCAGCCCGAAACGACCTGACACTCCCGTGGATGGCTGGCTTCCCAAGAAGGTCCTGGAATATATTCTGGTCTAGAGGCGCCTCCGCCTGACTCAGGAGGAAACTTGGGCGTATCGCGTAGCAAGTCTTATAGGCTTGTTTTGAACCAGAAGAGTCCGGCAAAAATTGTTGGTCTGCGGGCTGCGCCAAGGATGTTGGGAGATGGCTTGAAGGCAAAATGATACTGATAGTGAGAGAAGATCAGGCGCCCATCCCAGTATCAGAAAGTTTTGGTAGCCTTGTTGCATGCTGACTTGACTTGCTTAGCTGCTACCTTCCGGGACATTCGTGCGACAGTGACCTAGTCGCTGTTACACCAGAACTGTTATGAATGGCATTGGCTCTAGCTGAGGTTGGATAATATCCATTTAGACTCTAGATCACTGTTTGTTGAACCATAGAACGTTTCTTTTGTTTCCGAAATATTTTGCATTTTGATGTTCCAGCAAATTATAACGCTTGAGCCAAGAATTATGTCAGCATATTGTTCGCCTTGGTACTGGCACTGGCCGGCCGCCACACCGCTCATCCACGGAGTATGCCGCTAAGCCAACTGGTTCTCGTACTTGCATCCATCGTTTGAGGCAACGGAACAGATTGAAACAACCAGAGGTAACCGACCTTACCACCTATCACAGGCTGTTGTATCATGTCTCTTTAGCGGTTGTGGCGTGCTGGCGTTTTGGCACTTCCGCGCCCCCTCTCGAAACCTCTGACCTCAATGTCTTGCATTTCTGTGAGCCTAAAAAGGGCCCGACTTCAGGGAGCTGTGACTAAGCTGGAAGATGCCCGCGATGCACCTTCAGCTCTCTTGGACTACAGTAATTGGCTGATCTATGATTTATGGATTCATTATATCACCTATGATGCCAACCAAGAGTTCCAGTTTGGTCATGTTCTGACGTCTCAGCTCTGCAGTTTTTCCCAGGTAGCCACTGCACGTTCTTCAAGCAGGTTTGGCACTTGTTTTCGGGCTCAGGCCAAACAACCCATGGAGCATGACAACACTTTGACTTGCAAAACAAGGCCGCACATGCTATGCACCAAGCAACATCTAAACGTTCTTCTCCGAAGGGAGGAGCAGGTCTCAAGCGACGGTATGCTGATGGGAGGGCCCTCCTTCTCTCGCCACGGTGGGTAGAATCAAAGCTGTTCAGAGACTGCGCCCCCGATTCTGCCAGAGAGTCTGAATTTGCCTTTGAGATGTTGTTGGTCCTTGTGCAATTTGCCCCAGGCCCAAGTACCATGCACTGATTGACTCTGGAGCTCTTGTACCGGGACTCAGGATGGCATGCCGGCATGCCTCAGTGTTATTAACCTTGATTCATATAGTTATTATTCGGAAGTTCTCATAGCCGAAGCCAACTTAACAAACAGGTTTGTGCGGACATACCGTTTCAACTCAACCCCAATGTTCACTTTGCCGCAGCAAAGGAGATCATTGACCAATCGCATGAGGATATTTGGTGCGTGATCACATGGAACTGTAGCTTGCTTGGACAACTCGTTCTGGTGCTGGGCATGGCACAAGATAATCACCTTATTCCCGTTGGCATGGAGCCTGAAGGATGGAGAAAAACCTTCTTTGTGGTGGCTTGGGTCACAGGCCCACTCTCATGAAACCGGTTTCAGTCTTTGTGTATATTGAGTACGTATATTGAGTACCGTGGACTGCTCAGGTCACAGGCTTGAGCAACAGTGAGGTTGCGGAGTGGCGACTCCCAGAGTTCCGAGATTAACAAAGCGTTTGCAGATCTGTGGGAGGCGCTGTGGAAGGCAAGTCAGATCTGCAGGGGCCTTTGGCATTCCCTGAGGTACTTGCTGAGCCATGGACTGGAAGGTTTGGATGGCGTGCTCTTTCTGAATGAGCGAAATGAACGTGCCGGGCCAACCAAGCCGACCTGCTGGGAATGGCGAGCCGGAGCAGCAGCAAGGGTAGTTAAATTAAGGTTAAAGTGAAGATAATTGAACTCAGCGATAGGCACCGTGTAGCCCCCTCAAAAAATAAAGATGGGGACAGCGAAGGGATTGGGTACTTGATCACAATGATGCTGACAAACAGGCTGTTGGCCAATATGTATAATTTGTGAAATGTCGGTGAATTAAAACCCGTTCTTTGTTTGTAGTCTCTCTCTCTCTCTCTCTCCCTCTCCGCACTAGATTCTACAGCAGATGCAGTTCAATCACGTTTGCAATCTTGTGTCTGAGGTTGTCCTAGAACGTGACAGCATGAAAATTGTCGAGCTCGTACTGGGCCCAGGGAGTGTATCCTTGCAAGGTGGATGTCAGCACTATTGGTCACTGTAGCAAATGTTGAACATTGATTCTAAAGTGGTTCGCTTACAACACCCCTGAGGATGTGACAGTGTAGTTGCATCTCCTGCCCCCACTAGCAGCACTACCGTTTGTATTGCACCCAGTGCAGCAACATATGGCTCAAGAAGTTTGAAGTCCGGGGCTGCGGTAGAAATGGGGGCCAGTCTATGTGGCCGCCGGATTCCACAGCGGAAGGCAGGAGGATAAGATTGTTGAATTGTTGTACAGGAATGAGAAGTAGTATATTCAGCATAGTCTGGCATCGTATATATATATATAACAATATATCTATTATAGAGGAGGTGCGGTTTGGGTGCGAACACAGGCCTGCTTTTGCCAGGTGGCCGATGCGACCTTTGCCAAATCCAAAGTGGATCTTGTGAAGGTGGACTGTGCGGTGTTGGTTGGCCTAGTCAGTTTGCCATGTATATATAGAATAAAACTTGCGGGAAGCACGTGGAAATTCATGTGTCATTCATACTACTGCACCCGTCGTTTAAGAAGGTGCTTGTTGAACTCGTTGTCTCCTGTCCAGGCGAGTCTTCACATGATCCAGTTCCTGCAGGCATGAATATTTGATGAGCATGTTGGTAAGCATACTGTATTGGAATGGAATGGGCGGGCATCTTGCCGATACAACACCCTGGGAGTTTTCAAGTGCCCAGCATAGAGAAAGATGCAGAGTTCTTTTACATAGCTTGATTCATCTTGATTCTATCCAACTTGGCTTACAATGGTGGACCATGCTGGACCCTGGTTTGAGCAGCCCTACCTTTAAGTTTCTCCCAGAAGGACCAAAGATGCTTGCGGAGATGGTCAAACTGAAGGTGCTTGGGCTCCTTTAAAAGGAGCCCCTGTTCAGTGGAGGCCTAACTAAAGGGACCCAAGCACCTTCCATTAGCATTTGTCTCTAGGCTGCATTGCAGTCCAAACTGGTAGGGCAGGCTGGCCAGGCTGCTAAGTCGCTTTGTGCCCACAGGAGGTAGAGCGGCATCCCGCTCTCTACAGCAACGAGCGCCTCCTCAAAGATGCGGTACGACGCTATGAGGAGATTTGGCTACCACTCTTGGCGAAACATCGGCACCTTGGATGAATAGATTTACTGTAATAGTCGTAAGAATGCTCCTAGTAGCGATGCCAGGAGCCCCTAGTAGCGTCCTAGTAGTAAGGCCAGGAGCCCCTAGAAGTAGCGTCCTTGCTCCTAGTAGTAAGGCCAGGAGCTACTAGTTGAAGTGACGCTTGTATATATAAATGCACAAATTGTGAGCACATTGTTTGACTGAACTTAGCGTGACATTTGATACCCATTTCAATATGTTCAATGAAGCATATCCCTCGAAAGCACCCAAGATCACCCGAGGTATCCTACAAATCTGATTCCGCCTTTGGACGTGGAGTGTCCTGGCTGCACTTCTAGCGCTTGGGCCGAGACTGACCCAGAAGGGCCCTACTAGGTTACTAGCATAATCACATGGATCCCCCCTTGCCTTACTTGTTGGTTTGTGAAAGCTCGTCCCCCTCAAATAGGTTCACCGGGCCATATCTTGGCAAGGTGGTGGATAAAGATTTTCACTTATGTGACAATTGTTGGCAGGGGTGCGAGGACCTGGAAACCATTTCATGAAATCAGACAGAAAGCATTAGCATTTTACAGCAACATGTGATGCTTGGAGAGTAATTTCACAATGGGCTCCGGAATGCCTAGAGAGGGGGGTATTTTTGTAGAGGGCAGTGTAAGTGAAAATAGGAGGCCTATGAGCTAGCCAAAGTTTTCGTTCATGAGCTCCGTGCCACTAATTCCCCGGAAGAACTTCAGAGAACACACCCCATCTCCAAATCGTTGTATATTTGATAGCAAGGTCAATGATGACCCTCGGACATCTGCAATCGTTGTTGCCAAAACAGCTAGCAGTGCGGGTGTAACAGCAAGGGTAGGTCATAGTTCTCCAAACTGCTTGAGGCTTTAGGCTTTTTGTCAGGTCAATTGAAGTCTGTGAAATGCTTGGCCAGCCCCCACTAGGTCCTTTGTTTTGAGACGCACCGAACACCAGTTTATAGACCCCCCAGGCATCAAACATGAAGCAAGGGCTGTATATGAAGCATTATTGATGGACAAGAATTGAACATACGGATCCTCAGGGATTCCCGTGCTGTCAGGCCAACCAAATGTTTGCATTTGAATTATTGAGGCTTTTGTGATCTGTCAGCGTTTGCCGATTCCCTTTGGACTTGCAGGTGGGTTTGGCATTGCCATATGCTTTGTCCTATTTCCTACCAGCAAGAGGCCGGATGTTCAATATCCAATAGTTTTGGATGACTTCTGAATGGCGGGTTTGGGTTTCAATGAAAGCTTGTCAGTTCACTCCGTTGTACGACAATGTAGGATGTGTGGATTGGCAAGCGAGTGACAACTCTTGTATGTCGGAAAGGTTTGTCAAACATCTAGAACTCCACCCGCAATAAGAATGTTACACCCACAGGATGTGCCAACAGAATTTCTTGTTCCAAAGGCATATCAAACTCTGGCGGACACAATCGAGCATAGATGCACTAGTAACTATACTGTAGTAGTTTTCAGGCTGCTGCCATTGCTGGCCAAGCGCCACAGCACATTTTGCAAGCCAGGCGCATTTTGTGCAGCAATGGCAGGTTGTGGATTGAATGGATGCCTTGTTCGGCACAGGGGCCTCTCAGTTTCCAGCTAGTGGTTTCCAATGGTTTGTAACTACAGCGAACTTCTCTTTCCAAGCTGTTATCGAAGGGTTGCCCTTTTGCGCAGTCTTTTCGCTTGTTGTTGAGACTGTGATGGCAAATTTCATCAAATTTCAGCCGCCTTTGTGCGTTGACATTGCGCGTCGTGGGCCAGGTCAGGTGGCAAATTCAAAACTGCCAAGGAGAAGTCAGCCAAGCTTTGGGCAGAGGCGAAATGCGGCCGGAAGCCATATAACTTGTTGCATTCCCACGCTCAAGTACTTCCGGTGTGCCCCATCAATCCATTCTGAAGAGGGGCCTCAACCCGGTGCACAACGCATGCAGAGTGCAGCATTGTCATACATATTCTGAGTTTTGATATACCAAATGGAATCATGCGTCCTTCCTTGGGAACCGTTTCACTTGTGACAAGAAGCCTTTTAGTATGTCTTTGAAGCTTCTTAGTAACAAGAAAACGTTCTAGTAACTAGAAGCTTCCAATTTTGCTAAAAATTAGTATCCAACAGGGTTCTTCAGTTCTTCAGGATTCTTTGGCACCAGGTCGTTGCCTCTCACAACTGAGGTGTGTTGCTTTACAACAGTCATTTGGTGATTGTAGCATGATAGCATGTTCGTGACGATCTGCAACACTCACCCTGTCCGCGTTTTTTTGGTTTTAGAGTGTGTGCGCAACAAGATATCCTTGCCTTCCTGGTGTATTGTTGGTGGTAGGTCTATTTTGGTTGACCAACGCCGGAGTCCCTTGTGTGGGAAGAGCCACGGCTCACAGCCAGAGGCTGCGTGCTGTCATGTTCTGCCGGTGAACTCTTCATGGATCACGTTTCTGATCCATCGCACAATTACATCGTTCTGCATTTGGTGCATAAACAACGCCCCGTCGATGGAACTGGAACGCACGCTCAAAACATACGTACCTTCGAAACACACCTGTGAAACATTCTCCGCAACCTACTAGGTTCAACGAGCATTGGCGCCTCCCTATTTACCGAAACCACCACTAAATTTATTTGGTGACTTGGTGATCCTATACCGCTTCTGTGGCTTCCACCGTGGGGGTGTCGCTGCAGAACCGCTGCACTGCAGCTGGATCCTGCAGAGAGAGAGAGGGAGAGATAGGGACATTTCAGATTCCTGCGCCCCAGCGTCACTGTTGACGACCTTGTAGGCCACTGCTGAGCCATTTGAACTGAAACTGAATGTTGCCTTGGTCGAACCAAGCGAGGGCAATCGACAAAGATCCTTGGCAGAGAGTCAGGGTTTGAAGGATCTGTTGAATGACAGGTGCTAGCTTCCCGAATATGGGCTTTTGGTGGCTGCTGAGACAATCCATGTCACCAATCACGTAGGCCAGTGTAGTAGACGCCTATGATGTACAACAACGGGTCCCTTACAAGCCATTGTCATAGAAACAATTTGCCCAGCGGCCTCGGAAAGAGTTTGTTTACACGCTTTGAATGCCTCCACTTGGTTTGAGGGACAACCTTCAATGCCTCCCCAGACCTACAACCAGAAAGACAGTGAAGCGACAGCCGACACCAACTTCAACATGCCATGACATGCCCTCAATTTTGGCCTGCGTCAGATATTCTCGCTAGAGTTCTCACTAGTTGACTCTTAGGTTTCCCAAAAGCAGTGACAGAAGGAAGGGCAACAGCTACGTTTCGATAACATTGGAGTTGCAAGCAAGAAATGATAAGGTCCACCCAAGCAAAACGCGCGATAGTAATAGTGTTGGAATCTTGCAAGCCAAGAACAATAGCCATGCATTCGGAGTGTAACTTTAATTACCAGGACAACAACTTTGCAGGAATTGGTTGTAATCAGGAAGAGAAGGACATATAAAGATTGAATTTAAGTAATTTGAAGGCAGGCTGGATCTCTTCCAGAAGGGGGCAGCTTCTCCTTTTTGTGGCCTAGGTAAGATTGCGTATGATTTAGTCAGTGCAGCTGCTCGCCAAGCGGCCTTCTACTACCAGGTGGGGGCCACATCAGCTGTTTGTGAGCTCGTTGCCCTTTAAAACGCGACAAAAAACACATCCCGAGGTGGCAGTGCTTCCGCAATACAGGGACACCTACTTTTTGCAGTTGGCTGTTGAGAGCTTCTGGGTCGTGAATGAGATAATTTATGATTGTGCTGGAGCTAATGTGAGACGTGCGTCATTCTGGGGTCGTTTTCCAAGCCTTGCCTGAGCCAGACCCTTCCACAGCACTCCTGCACA